TCTATCTCCATCTATTGCCAGATGAAGGATCTATGGTGATAAGCAAAATATTCATCAGTATGGTTATGGGCCAAGGCCAGTTCAGGCACCCTCTCCTCTGTCCAGAGAACAATCTGGGAATCTCTCCTTGGACCTGGGATCCCATTTACAGTCAAGTCTCTAGTAAACCCTAAACTGACTTCCATAGTTGAGATATATTCTTCCCTGAACCCATATCTATCCTTCCTCCCTCCCCCCCTCCAGTCCCCCGAGCATTTCCCATTCCTCCTCTGCTCCCTTCTCTCTAACCTCCTCCCCTTCCAACTACCCTCCCAACCCCCCATGCACCCTTGGTTACCTGGAACTCTTGTCTATTTCCAATCCCCAGGAGGAAAACTACCTGAATTTTCTTCAGGTTCACCTTCTTATTTAGCTTCTCTAGGATCACGAATAATAGGCTCAAAGACCTTTAATTATGGCTAGAATCCACTTATGAGTGAATACATACCTTATTCCTCTTTTTGGGTCTGGCTTACCTGACTCAGTAAAGCGTTTTCTTTTTCTTTTTTTTTTATTTTTCTTTTTATTTATTTATGTTAATGGTTTCAATACTAACTATCCAACAGATGTGAACTGATAAGTCGTTGGGATTTTACTCTGTATTTTTGTAGTGATTTGTTATGTTGAGCATTTTGGCAAATACTTTCTGGTTACTAGTGTTTTGTCTGGAGAACTGCCTAGTCTCTTGTCCATTTTAACTCTGATGGTTTTGCTTTTGAAACTTTAGTCTATTTTGAGTTGATTTTTGCAAAGTGGTTAGTCAGTTTTCCTAGCACATTACTGAGAGAGTCCTTTCTTCACTGTTTGTTGAAACCAATTGACCGTAAATATGTAGGTCTGTTTCTTAGCTCCCTGCTTTGCTTGGTGGAATATGTGTCTAGATTTATGTTGGTACTATATCGGTTTGTTAACTAAAATATTATGGCATATTTAAACAATCACTGAAATTGCTAAAATGTTAATAAGAATTTGAAGATAACATAGATAAATGGAAAGACAGAAACATATTTCTGGGCAGAAAAATATTGTTCTTAAAACGTCCATACAACACAAAGAGATATTTATCAAAACTCCAAAGATATTTTCTCAGAAATAGAAAAAAGAATGATAAAATTTTTATGAAACTATAAAATATCATGGATAGTCAAAGTACCTTTGAACCATAAAGAACTAATAGAGTTACCACATTACCTGGTTTTAAATCCTTGCAATGGCTTAAATGTGATGTAAATTTCTATTTGAAGGATATCCCATGATAAACACTTCTGCGAAATAACACATTAAATTGTCAGCATCAACCCTCAGCTTTAATTTCTGTTTCATAGATATGAATAACTATTGATTTGTCTTAGGATAGTGCTTTCCTAAACTTTTTTCAAAAGTAAATTTTAGTTCACTTAAAGCAGAATTTGATTTTAAGCTCTTAGAACATTGCCTGTTTTGAGTAAATGATTAATAAATATATGTGGATGTTTCCATGAATTTATAACAGTAATCGTAAAACCATCTATCACTTTTAAAAGCCGATTTGGACCAGATGTTTGTTTGTTCCTTGGCACAGCCGTGCCTGGATGTGAATTCATTTTGTGATTCACAGAGTCCCCAAGGGCCCGTGGTGATAGGATTGAAACCAGGCCAATTGATGTTTTAATCCTTTCTGTCCTTCAGGAAGAAATGGAATTAAAAACTAAGTTTCTGTTGTTCAGAGTTTGTTGCACTGAGCTAAGATTATAGATAGAAAGTAGTCTTAGATTCTTGCTAAATGGATTTATAATCTGAATTAGATATACAGGATAGTGACCTTGGCAAATGAAAGGTAGAAGGGGCAACTTGGAGAAAAGTCAACAGAAACTGAAGAAGTTCAGAGATGACGGCCAACTTGTGAGTGGTGTTTGCTGACCTTTATGTGGGGGGTAGGCCTGCAAGGTCATGGTGCTGGATCTGTCTTAGTCTCCGTGTATAACTCCACACATGGCACCTTGCTTTACTCTGTATTTCTTCAAGATGGCTCATATTTCACAGTGCACTCCAAACTGATAAATAATAAAAAGATTGCTTGGTACAATAGGTCTATATGGTTTTGACCAGTTGATGGTAAATTATTAAATGATAATTTCATACATCTTAGCTAACATGAGCCAGTAATCGTTATGTGCATCTACACATTTTGTATGATATTGAGTTTATAAGAGAGAAAATAGAAACCCCCCAAAGTCCTAGATTTCATGCAAAAGAGTCACACATATCCTTTCCTCTTCAGTGAATCCTTAATGAAGGGGTATTATTGGAGACCCCGGATTAGAGACCTAAAAGCCAGTCTTGATTGTAATCACAATGTAGCAATTAGTGTACAGATGTAGATAATTTATTTAAGTAATATATTTTTCAGTGCTAGGAGCCAGATTCAGGGCTTCATGCACTGAAGTTATGCAGCACTTCACTGCTGAACTACACCTACACTCGGTCCTAATAAACTCAGAATACATAAAAGTAGTTGGAAAATCTGGGCACCATGGCACACACCTTTAATCCCAGCACTCAGGACATAGAGGCAGGAGGATCTCTGTGAGTTCAAGGCCAGTTTGGACCACACAGTGAATTCCAGGATAGTCAGGGCTATGTATAGAAAAAAATCTGCCTCAAAACAACAACAAAAAGTACTTGGGAAAGGCTGCCTAAGGTTAGACTGAAACATATAATTGAATGGATTTGATGGCGAGTGAGTTTGGGGGTCATCTCAAGGACAGTGGTGATGACATAGGGACAAGGAATTTGTCAGGGATGGGTGAGATAAATGTCTGAAGTATAGCTGTGTGGCATATAACCAATGCAGTCATGGTGTTTGACAAAGATTCAATGTGAAGTCATCCTTTCAACTTCAGTGGCAGAATGTGCTTACCAAAATAACAGGCTTGTACGAGATGGAGAACACACACTGACTAATGTCCAGAAAAAGACCAATATACTGATCACTTTTCCCTGCTCTAACAGACTTTGAGGACAAAATCTTCAGCCTTCATCAGAAGAACTCCATCAACTCCCCCCCACTCACCGTCGTCACTCCCTCCTCCTCCCTAATCCTCCCTGTGTGTGTGTGTGTGTGTGTGTGTGTGTGTGTGTGGTATGCATGTGTGCAGGTTCACTCACCTATGCTTGTGTGAATGGAAGCAGAGGTGAAAAGGAGGTGGGCATCTTGAAAGCTCCTCACCTTTCTTTTTGAAACAAACTCTATAGTACAGCTGTTTTCAACCTGTGGGTCACAACCCCTTTCAGGCAGGAGGATCAAACAACCTTTTCACAGGGGTCACCTAAGACCATAGGAAATATACAGATATTTATATTACAATTCATAGGAGTAGCAAAATTACTGATATGAAGCAACAGTGAAAATAATTTTGTGGTGGGAGGTCACCACAGCGTGGGGAAATGTACTGAAGGGTCACAGCATTAGGAAGGTTGAGAACCACTGCCATAGTGCATTCTGGAGCTCATGGGTCCTGTCAGGCTACACTGGTTGACCAGTAAGCCACAGGGGTTCTCCTGTCTTTGCCAGGTTGGTGCTGAAATTGCAAGCATATATTACCACACCTCGCTACGTAAGAGGATGCCAGGGATCCAGACACATGTCTTCATGCCTACACAGCAAGGTCTTTACCCACTAAACCATCCCATGGGCCCCAGGTCAAGGAAAGAGAGCCTAAAAACTAAGGGACTCGGGTGTCTTGCTCTTCTGATTTTGCTGACCTCTCTATACAGCCCTGCTTATTGCCTTTGAAGCTCCTCTATGGTACGCTTACTGATCACCTCGCTGCCCATCCATGACCTCAGTCACAATAAACAGTAGAAAAATGGCACAAATTCCTGTTTTTCTGTTGTATACTAACCTCAGCTGATCCTACACCAATGTGGGTCTATCCTGAATCAGCATAATTTAATTATGACAGAGGAAACACTTTTTAAAATTAAGACCAAATCAGAGTGTTTGCCACCACACTAAGATTACTGAACACGGTCAGCTAAGCCTCTCTCTGCTCGTCATTCCCTATGATCGGATCTCTCTTCCACTACGTGTCCTTGGCATCCTCCTAAATAGAGAGGTGTGGTAATATAGGCTTGCAATTTCCACTACATGTCCTAGAACATAGAAGGTATCTGGTGAAAGACGAATAAATAAGATTTCATGATAAACATATATGAGTATAAGAATGATCACACTGAGTTTTGAGAATATGCCTGAGATTATAACATATGACAAATCCTTAATTAGTATATTTATCTCAGAGGAAAATTTATTTGCCATCAGTTCTGTGGTTTAAAACACAACATCTGTGGTTTAAAACCACTTTGAAAATAGTTACTTGAAAAAAAAAGATATGGTTTGATTTCTGCAGTGAAAACAGTAAAATTTCCTATTTTTATTTGTGTGTGTGTGTGTGTATTTGTGGGCTATGACATATGTATCACGGAGACCAGAAAAAGGTTTCAGATCCCCTGGAACTGGAGTTGCAGAAAGTTATAGGCAGTCTGGTGTGGGTGCTTGGATTTGAACTCGGGTCTTCTAGAAGAGCAGCAATTCCTCTTAACCACTGAGCCATCTCTCCATCCTGACAGTAAAACATTCTAAGTTGAGTGGTTCATGCTTGCATAGAGGTCAGTTAATAAAAATGCCGTTACGTCTAAATCTTCCCAATCTGATTTATATTGAAAAACAGTGCTATACACTCAAGTCAAATATTTTTGTTGGTGGTGTTTAAGACAGAGGTATAATACATCATCATAATTTCTTTGATGAAAATCTATACATTTATGCAGTACATTTACATTTAGAAGTCCTTAGTGAGCATGTTCACAGAGCAGGATGAGGGCTGGAAGGTAGAATTCTTGCTGTTTAGCAGAAGGAAGTATGGTGCACAAATGGCTCTCTTCCGATTGGCTGATGCTCAGAGGTTCTGCTTCTTCAGGTTGACAGGTTGGATGTGGAGGGCTTGTTTAGCAACATCGAATCCGTCCACCAGATATCTGCCAAGCTACTGTCCTTGTTGGAAGAGGCCACAACAGACGTGGAACCGGCCATGCAAGTAATCGGTATGTTTGCTCCTTCTTGATTTCTACAGTACCACAGGAAACAGTATTTTAATAACCCCCTGGTACTTTGGTTTTATGTTTCTGACGCACAAAGCTTCCCAGGAGATATATAAATGCCGAGTCTGCCTTCGGGTTCATGGTAATTACACAAACTCCACGTTTATCTCCAGATGGGTTTATAGCCATTTGCCGAGGTCCCTCAGTAGCACTGAGCACAGACGGAATCGCGTTTTAGTTTTCACTCTTTCAATCTCTCTGCTTTCTAGATGGTCTTTCAATTTGTTTTATGGCTGGAACTTCCTTGGTCCTTAAAAAATCGAATATTTTAATAGCTATTCTGATTTCAATCTCAATGGACATTTTTAATCTTAAATTTATAAATTTACTGATTTTAAATACTTTACATGAAAAGTATGTGATCTCCAAGGAACTTAGACACCATCTACATTTTCAATTTTCCACTTTACTCTTTTTTCTCTTATTTTTAACTTTTTTCATTGATTCTTTATGGATTTCACATCATGCATCCTGATACAACTCATCTTCCTGTCCCCTCGCTTCTGTTAGCTGCCCTTACAACCTCCCCCCCCAAAATAAAATTTAAAAATAGAAACAAAAAGCAAAAAACAAAAAAACCAAATTGTCTCAGCTTGGAAGCTGTAATGTGACAGAGTGAGTCATGGTGTACCCTTTAGTACACACATCTTTACTTGTAAGTGTCCATTTCAATAAGCCATTGGTCTGGTTCAAGACCCGTGGTTTTTTCTACATTTGAATACTGGAACTCCTCTTGGATATCCTATTGTTGCTTTTGTCATGGAGATCCTAGAACTTTGGATCTACAGGTCTGGACCCTTCACATGCTCCCTGTGTGTATACATACATATATGTGTGTATCCATACATTTACAGTTTTTATTCTGACAAGGTTTTTAAAAATGACTACAGAGGATATTACATGAAAAATATTCAGCTTAGAGTCTATTCTGTTAATGTCTTCAGCATTGCAAATAACTACTTGAAGGAGTTTTATGTATCAATACACAGTGCTATGTAGCTTATGAATTCCTTTTAAAATGATCATTTTGTAATTTTACATTTATTGCATGTTATGAAAGTATTAGAACAATTGAGGATCTATAGGGTAAAGATGAAGGATTGCTTGTATGCTCCTCCAAACCCATTGTCACTCCTGCAAGTGATCATTGCTGTTAATCTGTGCAGAATGTCCCTTTGACACACACACACACACACACACACACACACTATCTTTATTGAATCCTCTTTTTTGTAGATATTAAAGTTATAGTTATAAAGGAACAAAATTATTCTTATTTAATATCTATATGGGTCCAAAATTTAGGGAGCAAGCTGATCTTATGAAAAGGCAAATGAAAGAATTCAGTCGGGTTTAAATTCTAACTTTCCTTGCGGTTCAACATCCCCAACAAACTGTATTAATGTTTTCTTTCTCTGAGACTGTACACATCTTCCTGTTAGCAGAGATTCCCTAGCCATTCATCAGTTCATCCTATGAATAGGTCTGAGCAGCAGCATGCTTACAGAGGACGATGCTGTGTGGTACTGTTGGGCAGAGTGAAGTGGAAAAGATCCCCTCTGACCCTCCTAAGCTCACAGGGAACTCTCTCCTTGAAGTGAAGGTGTGTGTCTGATCCCCATCAGAGTGCTTTTGTGCTGCTACAATCCCTTAATGCGAACATTTTGAATAGGAATAAAGGAAGGACTATAAGATACTGTATACATTTAAAGTTATTCATTATGTTTTGAGAAGTATGGTCCATGTTGGACAAAGATGTTTTTTGGAACTTTCTTTCCATTTAGCACTAATAGAAAATAGCAACACATTTAAAAAATGGTAAGTGATTAAGCTAATGTGAAGGATTATTTAGAGGCGGAGTAGGGAATACATCTGGGGAGGGTATTGAAAACAAATGTGAAATTCAGGTAATTCAACTTCGAATGTCATCTCTTCCATGGCCTTGACTGAGTGAAGAAGTGTACCACAGTAAATTGGAATGCAGCCTATTTCCTTTCCTGGCACTTTGGAGTGCCACATGCAGGGCACCAGCTAATACAGTGAGGACATATGGACCTGAGGAGCTAGAAACGGCCCCACATTGTTCTGGTGGCCCTTGGGGATATATTTGAGGCTGCAAACCCTTCCGCCCTCACTGGGTGCAGCAGTTAGTTGCCCCATGGCCTATGCTGTGTGGCATACACTATGGCCTCTGAGAAGCATGAGGCCATCAGAATGTCTATCGCTAGAGTTGGTGGGACATGCAGGGATTTCCAGTTAGATATGAATGAAATGTGTGCAGGCAACAGAGAGACTGGCAGCTTTGCGTGGGCGCTTCTGCCTCTTCCTGCAGCAGCAGTCAGGACACTTGTTGTATGTTATGTGTCTTGTAGCATGATTCTAATTGGCATTAATAATAAAAACTTGGAGTCAGCTACCAGAGGTTGAAAGCTGAAGGATCAGAAAAGTGAAACGGCCAGTCCCTAGAGTTCTTACCTCTGCCAATGCTCAGAACAAAGGGAGGATCCTGTCCTCAGACTGCCTCCTCAGACTGACTGCCTCATACTGGACTGCTCCTCAGACTTCAAGGAGCTCCTGTCTCCTCCCTCCTTATATTCCTCTCTCAACCCAGCCATATTACTCCTGTCTCCACCTCACTAGTCCTGGGATTAAAGGCGTGGGATCCTAAATCATGGGATGGATTCCCTTTGTGTGAACTCTGTTTCTCTTTTAGAATGGATCGATTTTGTGTAGCCCAGGGTGGCCTTGAGTTAACAGAGATCCATCTGTCCCCCAAGTCCTGGAATTAAAGATGTGTGTTACTATTGCCTGGCTCTAGTGGCTTTGCTTTGCACTCTGATCTTCAGGCAAGTTTTATTTGTTAAAACACAAACAAAATATCACTACAAAATCCACTCCTCTTGTTATTATTTGGTTATACTTATTCTAATTGTGCAATAAACCCTTCAGATATAAAGACTTATTGTAGTCACATAATGTAGGTGTTGCTTTTTCTGCTTCTCAAGAAAGTTGATGCTGAACATATGAAAATCAGAGTGCTTACCCCGTACACCATACAGACCTTAACATAGCCGTCACTAACCACAAACTAACCAGGAGACAGATATCTGCTGAAGAAGCAGCAGCATTCACGTGAGAAAACATTAGTCATTGTTTTAAAAAGATTGATCAAGAAAGGTGATAGTATGCACAGAGCTGCTCAAAGCGTGTTTACACACCATTCCAAAGATTGTTCATGCGCATCAGATAACAGCTGCTCTCCACTGATTTCATGCAAACTTATTTCCAAGGTTCCTTGATCCTATAAAACATATAAAAACAATGGCTACTAGTGAGGTGACACCATCAATAAAGGTTTTGCAGTTTAATGCTGGGTGTATCTGTTAATAGAGAAAGCAAGTATGGAATGCCAGTTCATTCTAGTAATAGGTATAATATTTATTATAATTCTAATAATAGGTATTTATATTTAAATAAAAATTGCAGAACCAGAAATGAATTTGGTGAAATTTGTTATTCAAAAATTGATTGTCTGATCTCATTGTAAATATTACTGTAACCAAGTCTTAAAAATCAGTATTATAGGAGTTGAAGGGATGGATTAGGAGTTAAGAGCACATATTGCTTTTGCGGATGAATTACATTTCACTCATGGTCAGTTCACAAGCACTAGCAATTCCAATTTCAGGATCTTGACACATTCTTCTGGCCTCTGTGGGCACCTGCACTCATGTGCACATACACAAATACAGACACACACACAAAGACATAAATAAAAAGTCAAACAAATCTTCAAAAATATGATATTGTGAATTCAAGTGCCAAAATAAATCCACATAGATAAAGCAAAGGATCACAGGAAAACATGGATACACCACACACATACATATACCATAAAAAATAAGTGCATACAAATATACAGTCAGTATTTACTTGTAATCAATACAACTCAAAGGATATCAACAAACAACAAACATATTGATATCCATAACTGGGAATAAAAACCAGCTCTCCAGTAGGTTTCAATGTATAAAGACAGAAGTAAAGGAAAATACAGAAATCCACTAGCAAGCAACCATCATCATTATAGCTGTTTCGTATAAAATCCACTAGTAAATATGATATATAGTGCATGCAAGTTAGAGAACTGTAGATGGGAGTTTCTGTCCTGCCTGATCCCGCAGCCATTTAGTCCCAAAGAAACACACAGAGGCTTATGTTAATTATAAATTGTTTGGCCTATTAGCTCAGACTTATTATCAACTACCTTTTACAACTTAAATTAACCCATAATTCTTATCTATATTTAGCCATGTTGCTTGTTACCTTTTCTCCGTGCAGCATTTTCGTCTTGCTTCCTCTGCTTCTGGATTATGACTAGAGACTGAATTCTTCTTCCCAGAATTCGCTTAGTCTGGTTGCCCCATACTTCTTGCCTTGCTCCTGGCCAATCAGCATTTTATTAAACCAATGCAAGTGACAAATCCTTACAGTGCACAAGAGCATTATCCTACAGCAGAGAAAACAGATTTCTCTTCTTCACAGAAATCTCAAGTTTTCTCTACCAGTAATTTCTGACATCAGAAAGAAGCATGGTAACCTTATAGCAAGAAACATACTTAAACCAATTGATCAAGGTCAAGAATCGTGGGAATATCAGCCTCACATCACAAACCTTTTGCATTGTGACAGATACTGCATTATATCTGTGGTCTTTGCCTCCAGGGGGTATAGACACATCCAATCAGAAGAAAGCATTCCACATATCCAAAAAAAATCTTGATGATATAAACAGATCAGTTTCCTTTTACTGACAGTTACATTGTGGTTATTTGCTATATTAACATAGGAAAACTGTGTACAGTGTGTGTGAAAACTGTATTGCCTCTGTATTTACTTTATTAGTATGAAATATCAATTCAGATTTTAAATAAAAAGCAACA